GAGAAGCAGTACGGATGTGGTCAGAGCAAGTCGGCTTTCGCGATGATTTCGTGATTAGAAAGCTTTCTCGCTTAAGCCGAGTCTGGCTTGAAGTGAAAACGTCAATAATATTATAAGTTACAAATATATTATTTTAACAGTTAATTATCTTTATTAGTTTTGTTGTTTTCTACAAAGAGTGTTGATCGATTATTTATTTTATTACATTAACCTAACCTTTTTTTTTTGTTTTTGTTTAGCGTAGGGGGAGAAAAATGCCTTCTGCACCATACCCCGGGCCGGTCCCGGAGCGTGTGCGGGACTTGCACCCGTTAAAAAACTCCCCCTTTCACGCGACATACCGCTGGACCAGAAGTCAAAGTGTCGAAGACCTACTGTGCATCTAAACTTTCGACACTTCAACATTCCTAACTCCCCCTCCGTAATCATCCAGTATTCCTCCGCCATCTAACCCCCCCCCCTTAATCCCTCCCCCCTCCTTGCTCCTGCCCGTCCCAACCACCCTCCATTTTAAGTGTAATGATTGTGTATATGTGTATATATGTATATATGTATGTGTATGAATGTGTGTATATATGTGTACGTATATATGTTTGAATTTGAATGTATAAACCCCAAGAAAACCGCAGAAAACCCCAGAAAACACCCTAGAAAAACACCCCAGAGAAATAAGCTTAAGCTCAATACAGGCTCAGAGCCCAAGCCCACCCTGGATGCTATAAATTAAAATTACATTAAATTAAGCCCGAAGATAAGCCAAATTGAATCCAATCAATTAATCAATTTACATTATTAAAATTAAATTAAATAAACCACCCCCCTCTTATTTCCTTTTTCTTCTTTCAAAGGAATCACGATGAGCATTTAGCGACATTATTATTACAATGTTCGGATCCTTCGCGTAGAAAAAACCGGATAGCGGAGAAAAAACGTACCATCACCATAACATGTTAAAGATATACAACCACAAGGGACGCTCGGACAGAGTAATTATCCCAGCCACCGATGATGACATAAGTGATAACCGCCCATACGCGTGCGTCGATCGACGTGTTACCAATCGGAGTCCTCCTCCCCCCCCCGATAAAGGTCGGAGGGAGACCACTCTCTCTCGGCGTCTCTCTTCGTCTTCTCTCTCTCTCTCATAGTTTTTTCTACGTACGCCGAAAAGGCGTTCCAATTTGCCTCCGTCAAACATACAGCCTCGATCACATCCCCCAAGGTAAAGTCTCTAGCTGGTTTTAATGTTTTCCTAAGATTAATCCTTTCAGGATCCCAAGCAGGGCAATCTCTTAACGTGTGGTAAACATCATCCGGATCTTCGCCACAGAGGTCGCAACTAGTGTCAGGTCTCTTGCCAATACGGAATAAATATTTACCAAAGCAGCCGTGTCCAGTAAAAATTTGCGAGAGATGAAAGGTCATGCTGCCGTATGAACGCGCCAGCCATGCCTCCATCCACGGGACAATCGCCATCTTCGTAAACTCACCTGGTGTATTTGGCTTTTCCAGAAGTTCCCGCCAATCCTCGAGCATCCTATATTGTTCTTCTTCTTTAATTTGTTTAACGATATCCTTGGTTAAGGTTTCATCTTCCTTATGTCGCGCGATCCTATCGTATATGTTTTTCCGAGCCGAAGCCATAAGGCGTACAGGCGGGAGGCGAGCCAACAGTAATGCCGCGTTATACGACACTGTCCGGTATGCAGATATCACCCGTTGTGCTACTAATCGCTCGATAGGGAACAATAATCTCGACATTCTGTTTACTAGAAGGACATCGCCCCATACCGGCGCGCCGTAAAGGACAATTGACATAATAACACTCGCGTATAGTCTCCTGCGTTTTTCATCTGGGCCTCTTAAATTGGGCATTAAGCGATTTAAGGCCCCTACAGCTTTATTTGTTTTTTCTATTATGTATTTAACGTGACTATTAAAATTCCATTTATTATCTACCATAATACCGAGGTATTTTATAGCGGGTTGGAAAAAAATAGGTGTATCGCCAATTAGCGTGTCCATCGGGAGTTCTCGGATACCTCTTGGGTGTAATGGAGTAGTTTCTGTTTTATTCGAGGCCACTTTTAATCCTAAGCTCTGAATATAATTCACAACGCGTGTAACAAACACCCCGGCTCTGAGTCGGGTGTGTTCTATGTCATAACCACTAACAACAACAAGAGTGTCATCCGCGTAACAAAGAATCTCGCATAATTCCTCTTCTTCGGCAAGATCCAACACACCGTCGAATGAAATATTCCACAATATTGGCCCGAGGACCGACCCCTGCGGAACACCTGCCTCCATGGTTTTTCTATAATGCCTTCCATCCGATCCGACATATTGAATAATCCTGTTGGAAAGATAAGAGTCTATGATCCTTCTAATGTATAATGGAAAACCCTTTCGCTCTAACTCGCGTCTTATTACCCGCCAGGGGACTGTTGAAGGCGTTCTAAATATCTAGGGATACTACGATAGCGAAACCTCCCAGTCCTACGATGTTACTAGTGATATCCCTAAGCCGTCTAAACGCATCGCATGTGGAGCGACCTTTACGAAAACCGAATTGATTTGGTGAGAGATCAGATTCAGGATGTTCTTCTTGCCAAGAGAAAATTCTTTTCACTAGTATCCTCTCAAAGGCTTTCGAGATCTCGTCTATCAGACAAATAGGTCTCACTTTAGGGATTGCGGTAGGATTCAATTCCGAATTTCCCCCCTTAGGTATCAGCACAAGATTGGCAACTTTCCATTGAATTAGGAATTCACCTTTTTCCATACAGAGATTAAAAATAAACCCTATCCAGTCCAGTATCTTTTCGGTTACCATTTTCCAAAGCCCAAGACGAAAGCCATCCGGGCCCGGGGCCTTGGAAACAGGAGATGTTATTTTCTTTATAGCCCTATGCACTTCTCCTGGAGTGATCGCATAATCATCAGACCATACAAGTTCCGACCAATCCCTGTACGTTACAACCTCAGTGTTCCTAGGGAATAAAGTATCTAGTAACCTGTCCAAGATGTCTGGTTCTAACAGTTCCGTAACTCCCGGGGACGAAGTCCTGAGTTTCTTGAATACAATTTTATAGGGCAAACCCCATGGATCACCGTTGATCGTATCCAGGAGTTCCTGCCACGCAAGCGACTTAAGTTTGTTGATTTCCGCGCGCAGTTCTTTCCGCTTCCGCTTATATATTAATCCTAATTCCCCAGTGGCCTCGGGTAGACGCTTCTTCTTCCTCGCTTTTTGCCAAAAACGTCTGGCATGCAAGCAATCCGTGCGCAGCCGGTTCACGGAGTCCTGCCACCAGTACGCCTTTTGACGAGGCTTTTTAGGGCCTACCCTTAAAGAAGCTGCGTCACAAGCTTCCTCCATGATACGATCTAACCAGTTGACCATTTTATTGATGTCGCCTTGTTCTTCAGGCTTAGGCCCTCCACCTCTCCATATCAACACGGCAGTAAAAAGGTCCTCGTCTAATTTCTTGTTATTCCATTAGCGTTGCACCAATCTATTTGGTGATATTTCCGGTTTAATTGTATGGATACTAAACTCAATATAGAGATGGTCGGAAAGGGATTCCATATCTTCCCTAACCCGCCAATCACTTATTAACTGGAAAATGTCCGAGGAACTCCACGTAAGATCAATTATTGAGCTTCCTTGAGGGCGTACGCATGTGGACGCGTTGCCAGTGTTAAGGATCCTGAGATCTCTCTCAGCGGCCCAAGTAGTTAGAGCAAGACCCTTACTATCTGTGAATCCGGCATTCCAGAGACTCGCCTTGGCATTGAAATCGCCGCCTATAATGATTTTTTCAGTACGGTACGCTAAAAATGTCGAGACGTCATCAAGGATACTATTAAACTCCCTAGGGCTCACTCTAGGGGAAATATAAATGGATACGATAAGGTACGGTCCACAATGTACCCCCACAAACTGCGGGCCTTTTTTAGCTAAAAAGGTCTTCATCCTGGTATAAGTGGGATCTGTAAAAATAGCGGCACTTCCATCCTCGCTAACGAACCAGTTGTCAGCTGTCGGTATGAAATTTGGTTCCGAGACTAGTAAAATTCCAGCGCCTAATTCCCTAGATTGGTTGATTAAAAGATCTAGGGAGAGCTTACTCCTGTTGATATTAGCCTGAAGCACTTTTACCCGCATGTTCCTGACGAAGGGCCCGCTTTTAGTGCAGACTGTTCGGCAGAAGTAGTCGTCCTAAAATTTGTTCTCACTTTATTGATTTTATAATTCGCATTGCACAGATTTGACCCTAATCTATGGCAGGGGTTCTTATTTTCTGACGCACAGAGTTTACAAAAAAGTGGTCGATTGCACTGTCGAGTCAGATGTCCCGCTTCACCACATTTAAAACATAAGCCGCTATAGTCCTCCTTTGTTGGACAAGCGAGTCTCACGTGTCCAAACCTCCAACATTTGAAGCATCGAACGGGTCTGCTTTCTAACAGATCCACTCTAGCCACCGTCCAGCCAATCTTGACATTCCTCATGTTGGCCAATTTTATGGCAGCGCTTAGTGGGCATTGAGCCCAGGAGGAGAACAGACCGTTGTTCATAGGTCGAATAGGCCCTGCTTTAACCTCATCCTCGCTACACTTCCCATTTTGTGCAATTAAGCATATAACCTCATCGATGGATACAGAGTCATCAAGACCGATCAACCGGATTTCACCTTTAATGGTGGGTCTTACCACTCTTGCCTGATCATGCAAAATGTCTCTAAGCTTATCTACTAGAGCATTAGCCTTATCAACGCCATCCGAATCCAGAACCTCTATCAGTAAGCCACCGTTTGCCGCGCGCCTAATCTTGGTGGCCTTAATATCCAGTTTGTTCAAGGAGATGCCTTCTCTTGCTTTTTTAAGAACGTTGGCATAAGTAAGTTGCGCGTCGCGGCTGGTGATCAGGACTGCCGCGTTTTTAGGGGGTCTGCGATTATCCCTAACATTATTAGAGCTTCTCTCATTACCTGTTTTATAGTTGGGGGGTAAACTATCTCTATTTTGAGTTTTCCTTGTCTCCTTAAGCTTCTTTTTATTGGTGGCTGTTTTCCATTCTTCATTTCCTGAACTGACTCTGGGAATATCCCTATCCTTCTGTTCTTCGTCTCTAGTGATTTTTCTAGTAAATTCGTTTCTAGGGATGCTCGGGGGAGCCAGTCTGATGTCAGAGATTATCCTTGGTCGATTTCTCGGCATCCGCTGGGGGAGGTATTTCTCTTTGGCCCGACCAGAGTCTCCACCTGTTTCGCCCTCATCCATTCTAACATCTTTCTTCAGTTCTGCCTTCCTTCTTACTAAGTCTTTCATTTGTTTGTTTATTAATAAAATCTCTCTTTTCTTTTCAGGTTCCAGGACATTGCCGGATTCCAGAATTTTCACATTAGGATTCTCCACTAGTGGGCTTTCACCGTATGCAGTATTTGATTCAGGTAAGTTTAACTCCTCCTCGGTTAGCGTTCCTTTATCTATCATTTTAACTTTTCCTTCCAGGTCTTCACTAGGGTCGATGCCACTTTTCTTGAGTTTCCGCTGGGCAATCCTGTAGCTTTCTCTAGCCTTCCTACGATCTTTTTCCACTTCGTCGAGTTTGTCCCTCAAAGATGTAACTTCTTTTTTCAAATCGTTGACCATGCTTCTCAATTCCTCCGTTTCCCTGTTCCTGAGGACCTCGTTTAATTTCAGCTTGTCAATTTGATCCGCTAATTCCTTGTTCCTGAGCCTCAGGTACGAGGGATCACCTGCAGCCTCCGATTTATAAATGAGCGTGTTAATGACATCCTTATTTTTTCGATGTTTTTACGCATTTTTCCACTAATACCTCCTTGGAGGTTGCGACTCCTAGACCGCATAGATTCGATATTGGCCAGATAATCCAGGCCCATAACTCCTACGCTATTAGCCCCCATAATTCTCAGTTCTTGGGGGGCAAAATCTTTGCCAACTTCCTCGTCATCAGATGATAAGACCACACTTGACTCGTTAGTCCAGTTTTTAGAACCAAGTGATTTTTTATGTGTTTTCCGGGTTTTATTGGAGTCTGAATCTGATCCTTTTTCAGACTCCGTTGACATTTTCTCAGTAGGTGGCACCTCAAGAGATGGCGATTTCCCCGCAGCACGTGTGTGAGGCCTCTTCTTTCTTGATTTTAATTTTCTAAGGGATATTGTCGACTTATTCGGAGTTTCACCACCTTGACCTCCTTCTCCGTCGCTAAAAGAATTAATCTCTGGTGAGGCTTTGGCCTTCCTTTTAACGTTTACCTTTGCATCTCTAAGAGCAGGGGCTTCAATGCCCGCATCAACAGGATTCGGATTCTCGGGGACATCCAATTCGACGGAAGTAGAACACCCGACAAAAGTCAGGTCTAATGGATCCTTGTCTGACTCCGAATGGGTCCCGACGGTAGCCAAATTTTCTTCCCCGCCCGTCGGCAACAGTGGAGAGAGCCCTTCGTGTGATAAAGACGGGCAAGCCTCTGGGACTGTAAGACTCGCTCGCCTGTCGCTGGGGGTCCGATTTCCCTGCGGCAGTAACATTTTTTCCATATTTCTGTCCATATTCATAATCTTTTGGTTTCGGTTTGTTATTCGGGGTATCCTTCCCCTAGGACGGCCGGCTTCGCCACGCCTGCGAGCCCGTCCTGCCCGTACTAATAATTTGAAACCTTTATCCAGCATATCGTCAATAAGATCCAGGGAAACGGCCAAAGTCGTCATATTTTGATCCAGCCTAGGGAATTCGTCCGGGTCGTTGAGCAAATCGAGCAACGAAAGATTCTCCTCATTCCAAGGTGCTTCTGATGTTACCGAGTTCCTTATCGGGTCCACGTCTATTTTTATTGGGGTTGTATAGAATCTTTTACAATCATCGAGCAGTTTTTTGTGAGTTTCTTGATTTATTTGCAGTTCTTCCGTAAATCTCTCTCCTGACATCCGGGACCTTAAGAGGCTCAATTCGCAGCGAAGATCTTGTATAATCTCTTCCTGACTTTCGACTTTGTCCAGGATGCGTCTTCTATCACGATCCAAGTCAACCACGATCGTCGATAGATCGCTCATGCCTTCAAGGATCATTTCAAATGCACTGTGAATTTTGTCCTTAAGCGACTGTGGAGATATTAGGCGATCTGCATCATTTCATTACCAATGCACACATGCGAGTCCCCTTCTCAAATGCGAGCAGTTACTCTAGTTTGCATATTTTCTACGTTTATTAATCAGTATCTCGGAAAATACCTATGCCAACGCAATCAGTCCCTCCAATGCATAACTTCTTACATGTGAAGTTACTCATGCTCTCAGATCCTTTATAATTATTAATATTTCAGCGCATAGACTTAGACCGTTCAAATATATTACGTGTAACGTATTATAATAATAAATCGGAATCCAACACAATTTCGCAATTTCTCGCAGAAAACATTCATAGTTTCCCGAGCAATGCAAAGAATTCATGGTAAAACGATTCTGGCATTCCAAGTGTGTCATGCAGCCAAAGACACAAGAGGCGCAATTACATTCTGGTTTAGGAACGACGCCCATACCCTTGCACAAGACAAATATACATGTACACCTCCAATTTTAATTTAAGAATTACTCCGTGTATAAATGTGTTTAATGTTTGTCTTGACTTATTTAATCAGTCTAACAATATTACACTCAGCTCAACTAATATTTTAATATCAGCCATACTCATTGCACCTTCTGCATTACCATATTGATAGTGCGCAAGGAGGGCTTTTCAACAAAGCATAAACGATTACGCGTTATACCCGCGCGTTACACGTTTTACCTACGCGTTCTGAACAACAGTGACTCAATCCATTTAACTTAGTTATCAAAATTAACAATAAATTCAATTTCAGGTTTAAATTAAATTCAAATCAAACTCAAATTAAGTCTAAATTAGGCTTCAACCTAAGATCCTTTCCACGCGTTCATACATTCATATAGCTCAACAACATATAAGTATCCTTCATCTCTTATCTTTACTAGTTTAATTCTTGTAAGATTATTTAACCTAGCCACTTAGATTATTATATGATATAATCCCACTGTGTGGATACATTCCAACGCAGGTACATCTCATGTATGTTTTCTAGCAGGATCTTATATCAATCAAAATTAAAGTACAAACATAAAACATAAAACAATTTTAAGAACAGTTGCTTCCTCTGCATATCTCCATGTACATATAATTAAATTATAGTTTGCCGTCCTGATAGGGACCTATTTCATACAAGGACATACAAAGCGGTTAACAAAAACTGTTGATTACAAGAGAGATCTTCCATCAGTTCTGTAATATTCGGTTCCACTTTAAACAGATATCCAAGATCAAACATGTCTGTCTGTTTCATTAATTTAAATAAATAAATTTAAGCAATTTGAATATTGTAATCTCTATGAGATTTAGGCATTAATGCACCACAATGACAGACACCAAACATATCCGATCCCAGAGTCTGTAGCAGGTGTTGCAGGTGTTTCTCTCTATTCCTCCACAGGCACTTGACGTCAACGATCCAACTATCGCACAACTTTAACACATATATTCTTCAACATGTATCGCCAGTTCCAGAATCATTTAAGATTAATACCACAATAATCCAGCAACACGAGGGAATGTTCCGTTGACACGTATATTAACATTTAATCGGTGAGTCTCCATCACATTTTCCTTTTCCAATAGAACCAAAGGTATCCAGGTGATAATCCCATTATGTAATGTTCCTCCTGTTTATACATTCACATATCACGTATCACACCGAGTCTCGTGGAATCTCATATTCTCAACCTCAAATTTCCTGCAGAACAAAATCCCATTAAAGTCCAGTGCACAATACAACATAATAATAGACTATTAACAGCTTGTGGTATAATTATATACCCATTACAATTACAACACTCTCCGTCCATTATAGGATTTACAAGACAACAATGTAAATGTCAGTAGCACACAGATTGAGTGCCAGAATTCTCAGATCAGTATTCAATCATTATAATATCCGGTTAAAAGAATATTCTATCAAATCATTAACATAGCATTAAGACACGTAGATTTAAGCGTCTGAGCTGTCATACTTAATGCACTATTTAATCAGCATAAAGAGAGATTAGTCAATTTCAGTTACTTACCCTTCACGGTAGATTGTTTAAATTCCAGATACCTTTGCTTACATCGAGTGTTGTATATCCGCTTCCTTCAAGTATCAGCAGTGAAAATATTACTCCAAAAGGAAGGCAGCATGAGTGTCGACATAGATCCATGCAGTATTACACTCGCATAAAAGCATCAGTCCAACTTCTTTTACATTATTCCGCATTCTTTGCCATTAGACATCCATTCCAACGACCTCCATTTAATTAGTTCGATCAAAGGGTTGATATGTCCACGCTGTCAAGTTATAGGAACTACTAGGAGGCTCATACGGCCATCACCAGGACTTCAAAACATCCTCTCAAGTCAAGACCCAGCCGCCATTACATCTTGTCGTGACGTCACATAACGTGACGTCATACGGCACCTCGTGGCTACGAAGATTTTCTAATATCCTTTTAATATCTTCTATTTTACACTAATGGTGCCTCCACAAATACAAATCACAATCGTGACGACGCGACAAATCACAATAGAGTCACAAAAGAGTCACAAACAGTGGGAGTCGCTCTTGGACGGTACGCCACTCATGGCCACGTCATTGTAAAAAGCCCTATACGGCCGCCATTAAGCGCACCGAAAGGCAACCAATTTATAATTAAGAATTTCAGTCAATTAAAAGTTGGAGCAAGAAATGTTTTTATTACAATCGATGCGCGGTGTCACAAAACACATTTCAGTATGCTTTTTTCTCCGATTGGAGCACTTTATAACCACTTTACTCCTAAATATCGGAGCACTGAACTGTCAGTGGACTTAGTCTCAGTTCCATCCAAGAGCGACTCACATTAACCTTTTTTTTTTTTTTTCGCTGGTCGTTAGGGGAAAATGCATTTATGCACCGTACCCGGGGCCGGCCCCAGGCGTGTGCGGGACTCCTACTGACCTAAACAAACGGCCAGTAGACTACCCGCTAAACCCCCCCCCTGGCTAGTAAACTAGCCACCTCTGGATAGACCTTATTCAGGGTACCGTTAGTCACATACAAACCCGAATAAGACCGTCCTTTGCACTATTGGTGCCCACTAATGTTTCTCACCATGCCTTATATCTATCCATCCATCTATTCCCGTCTTCCTCATCCACACTCACACTCACCCACATATATATTCCTACCTATCCACTCTTACACCCACACCCTCACCCACACCACACACACACTCACACACACATACACCCATACTCACACACATACACCTAAACCTCCCCTCCTTCTCTTCACTCTTACAACTTACATATCTAGATAATAGGACTATATATACCTACGAGCGGTATAACTCCATACTAACCCCATCTGGATAACAGAAGAGGTTTCATCACTAACTATTATACACTATATATATATATATATATATATATATATATATATATATATATATCTCTTTCTTTCTATCACCTGAAAAAAATGTTGATTTTTCAATGCATCAGTGCGATTACGTTCGTGAGTCTTTTTTATTTTGCGCGCCATTAAACAGCCACCATTTAATCGTTGTGACACAAAAAAAAACATAATATTCTTTGAATTTATACACGAGAATTATAATTTATAGTTTATAAATTTGGATATAAATGTGCACACACAATTTCTCTATAAATTATAATTTATTATTCCTGAGATGGAACTGAGAATGTATTAGCACATATTGAATTTGTGGATTAATGTCTATTTCTTGGATATAATGTAGAGTTAATTTTTACTCAACGATATATATATACTTATCCCTCAGTTAATTTTCTTCCAATATATCTAGAGGTAATTGGAGGCTGGCCGATCTGCTCCAGCTGCTTCTCGCGCCCTCTCCGCGTTCTCTTTCTCGAGCATAACGATCTCCGCAAATTTCATTAACGCCTTCCAAGCCCTATCACTAGAAATAATTTTCCTCACAATAGTAGAAAGTACTAGATCCCTCCCTGCAGCATTGAACAACTCCTCTCTCTGTACATTCCACGAAGAGCACATAAATAAGGTATGCTCCGCAGTATCCAAATCCGACCCACAGTGAGCGCAGATAGGACTATCTGCCTTTCCTATTCTATGAAAGTATGCATTAAAGCACCCATGACCCGTGAGTAATTGCGTAAGATGGAATGAGAGACAACCGTGTGTCCTATCTAGCCACTTGTTCATATTGGGCAGAATAGCTTCGCGCGTACGTAGCCCTGGGTTATCAGGGTTATTCAGATAAAGATACCACTGTCTTCTCAACAAACTCATTTCTAAAGATTTAATTTCTTCCTCAGCTCTAGGGGACCATTCATCGAGACGTCGCAAGTCTTGTATTCGCAGGAATACTCGTTTTCTCATGGCCGCCACAAGAAATAGAGGCGGGATGCGCGCCATCAGTGTCGCGGCGTCAAAGGAGACCGACCTATATGCCGCAATTACGCAAATGGCCATAGACCGTTGTAGGCGACGCAGCGGGGGCTGCTTCTTTTTAACGAACGCATCGCTCCACGCCGGAGCACCATATGTCATCACCGACATAAGAACGTTAGCGTACAGGCGCCTCTTCGCTTCCCCAGGCCCTCTCAAGTTGGGCATAAGCCTACCCAGCGCGCGCATAACCTTACCTGCCTTATGTTCTATGTTCTCAAAATGGAAGTTAAAACTCAATCGCTTATCTATGAGAATTCCCAGATATTTCATATATTGTCTGCTTCCAATTACTTCACTATCTACTGTGATCTCAGGATCCGTGCCGGGTCCCCTACGGCGCCCCGGGAACGTCACAACTTCAGTCTTGGATGCCGAGACCTTAAGTCCAAGCTCCCTAATACGCTTGAGGACAGCACTTATCTGTATGTTTGCTTTGATAGCCGCATTTCCCACACTGCTGTCGGTCGATATGATCAGCGTATCATCCGCGTAACAAAGTATGTGACAACCCTCCTCTTTTCT